TCTCTCTCTCTCTCTCTCTCTCTCTCTCTCTCTCCGTCTCTCTCTTTTTCTTAGTCCGTGCCTTGTTTCATCTTTCTCTATTTCTCCCCTCACTTGTCACACTCTCGCCATCGACCCCCCTCCCCCTTGCATACGTTTTATATGTTCATATTAGCAAAGAACTTACTGTCCATTTCATTTCCCATTTTTCTCTCCTTTTGGTAGTGTTTGAGTGCTTAATCTGCAGCTTGCACTGTGTGCTTCCCGGGTAGAAGCTAATTGTTCTGAGAGTTGTAGAGTCTGCTGGAGTATAATATTGTAAAGCTCATAGGGCATGCTGTTAAGCGGGGATATGCGCTTTACAAATTATGCAAATGCTATTTCTCATTATATCTTGTTGTTCAGTCTTCTAAAAGAGGCCTTACATAAAGCCTTACATAAGACTGCTAAATGGGAAGCAATGTACACACTGAAATAGTTCTAATATTCACTGTGTTATAGAATAACTCTCACATCAGGCCGGAACATAAAGCTATTTAAAAAAGAACGTTGTGCACACTAAGCTACGTTTTAGTAAGTGTTTAAGGGCACTTGCATCTGCTGAACATCAGAGGTGGTTCTTGAGTGTCATGCAAAGAAAAGAAGGAGGATAGATAGAAGGTAGGATGAAAAACGTTGGATTGGAAAGAATGAGCAGACAAACTAGGGCACTAGATGGGCACCCATGTACTCACTAAAGCTTTTATAATGTTACAATGTACAATTTTACAAAGGGTGCTAATATTAGCCTCAAGCCCAAGCATACGGTTACTGAAAGAAGACGGTTGCACCCTCTTAAACATACCTCCTTCTTTTCGAAATATTCGTTTAAAAAGGCCTTAATATAAGGCTCGTAAAGGAAGATTCCTAACTTTATTCATAAAGTTCTCAAAGGACCCCAAACAAAAGACTGCTAATCGAAGAAAAGTGTATATTATGTACATACTAACACAGCTATACTTTCATACACAATGCTCTTAAGGGGTCCTAACATACGATTCTGCATAAGATACTAAACAATCACAGTTACACACTACAAAACTTGTAATGTTGCACATATTCTAAAGGTTCCTAACATAAGAATACTTAATTTAGGCCATTGTACTCACTTTAACTTTTCTTCCGTTAGACAAAATCAAATCGCTCTAAGTGGGCTTGTCATAGGATTGCTAGATACACAAAATTGTATTCACTTAATCTTTTTGTCTGTTAAACAAAATTTAATCTTTCTAAAAGGGGATTACTAGAAAAAGAACATTGCCCTCACTTGAACCATTCTTTCTTTTACAAATGAGTCTGAATGGGACGAACATCGGACTATATTGTTGTCCCCACTCGAACGTTTTTTTACGTTTTATTTATTGTCATTTTAGGGTCCTAACTTAAGGCTGTGTCAGGATGTAGGATACAATCAGACCGTAGCACTGTAACCTTATCGTGGTCAGAGATAGTAGCCGGCGAATTCGTCATTATCTCTCGGTCTGAGATCTGGTTCTGGAGACAGAAACACCTCACCCTTGACCTCAGTCATGAGCATTGTCTCTCGTGTTTAACCCCTTCACATTATAAAATATCTCACTGAAGAATGTATACAGTCTCGGGCGAAACAGTCAAGGGGTTGAGCCAAAGGTTGGGGAGGACGAGAGATGTGCACGAACTCACTGATCCACGTACACTCTATCCCAAAGTAAATGAAAGTTTCCTAAATAATGATATAAGCAG